AACTAGGTCACAGTCCCAAGGTTCCATCCCCTCCCTAAATGGCACAACCAGTTAGGGAACAAATATTCAAACACAAGCCTATGGGGGACATCGCACATCCAAACCATAACAGGTATTGAGAAATCTGGCCCTGGGGTTGAAGAGATGGATAGACAGTTAAGAGCACTGGCTCCTCTTCCCAAGGACCCAGCTTCAGTTCCCAGCATCCACATGATGGCTGACAACCTTCTGTAACTCTAGTTCCAAAGGATCTGACTCCCTCTAGTCTCCTTGAGTGCTGTATGCACATAGTACACTTACAAGCATGCAGGCAAAACATTCACACATATGAGATAAAAATAAAATATTTTAAGAAGAAAGAAATCTGATCCTAAGAAGGGTATCAGACATTGAGTAATTGGTGGGTTGTATCATATCTGGAAGGAACAGGCACGTCCAGTGTGCCAGGGTAGTAAGGCCCTAATTCAACTTTCCTAGCTTAGTTTAACATAGAACAGACTAAGAAGATTTAAATCAGACAAGGATTGCACCCAAAAGAGAATTCAGTGAAGATGATTCCTATTTATAAAAACTACAAACATCACAAGATTACAATCCCTATATGTTGAAATAGCCCTGGAGCATTTGCTGAGTGCCCACTGTGCACTCAGCACAGTGGAAGTGCCTCGCTGGCACGGTCAGATTAATTTTCACGTCTGCAGATCTCTGTTCTGTGGATGAGGGAACCAAGTCTCAGAGACACAGTGACTTCTGCAAGGTCATAGTGCTAATCAGTAGCAGAACTGGATTTTTTTTTTTTTATTTTTATGGGGCTTTTTGGCTCCTCTTAACATTCCCCCCTCTGAAGAGGTAACTCTAAAATCTTATAAGGATTAGATACAAGCTTCCAAATACTTTTGACATTTTTGGCCTTTGGAACAGAGTATGTTGCTAACAGGCCCAAGGACATTTTGACTTTTAGCCAAGAAACTGGCTACATTTCTTTGGGATCTTTTTACCCTGT